CGGGGAGGGCCCCAGCCGCTTCCCTCTGTGACTACTTGGGCGGAGGTGCTGCGCTTCGCCTTGCCGCTTAATAGCAGGGGGCTGCCGCCACGGGCCTCGCAACCGGCCGCGTCCGCGCTTTCCTTTACTGCTCATCTTCCCTGGTCGGGCAGCAGCAATCTGGAAACGCTGGTACCCGCTACCTAAGCGGAAAAGGTGCGGAAATAACTCTTTATGTGATAGCCAGGTTTTTAAATTACTGGATTTTTCTTCGGGGAATGTCTGGACGTGAGCAAATCATTTTGACATGAGCAAATGAAATGAAACAGCTAAAACATGATTTTTTTTTTTTTTTCCCCAAGTGGATCCTCACCAACAAAGTACATCAGTCTCCAGCCAAATAAGTCTAGGACTGAAAAGTTATAGTCTTTGGCTGCTTGTATAAAATGCTCATTCTTCCTCTCGCTCTTTCCACTTTCATATCATGTTTCTCAGCGTTACCAAAGCTTTTAATCCCCTGTCTTTTCTTAATCTCAATTTAAAGTTATTTTATCGGGCACATTACAAAGGAAAGTTTTTTATTGCAAACAAATGAAGCAGCCTGACATGCTCTCTCCATAATAAGCATGTAGGAAACCCGGTGAGGTTCAAACTTTGGCCATCAGCGTGCAGCTGAGCACACAGTCCAGTCCGGCGCACGGCGGAGATCTCCCCCGGGGACACGCCAGGGCTGTCACGGCAGCACAGCTCTCCAGCCACGTTGTGGTGTCCTCAGTGGGGCCGAGGGGGACATATAAACCACGTGAGAACACAGCAAATCCATCAGCATGTATCGATGTATAAGTAGAAAGAGAAAGTCACTCAGGCAGCTGAGCTCGGTGCTTGTCGCGACTCCTGAGGGCAGACAGCTTTACGGGTTCAGATTTAGGGCCCGTGGGTCCGGTGCCTGAAGGTGGCTGCTGAGTGGGTTCCCAGGACCGAGCAAGAGCAGGGCAGCCATACGTGACACATCTCCTCACTCTTCTTTTAGTTGTGGGCTCTTTGCAGCTCAGGGGAGTTTCTGTAGCTTTCTGTAGCATGCGGTTTGGATGTTTAGTAGCTCTCAGTAGACCTATCTTCCAAGTCCTGGTCCGACCTGCCCTTGAACCCGTGTAACTTTTGTGCACACAGAAGACTCAAAGTCTGTGTTTATGCTATTAAACTAAACAGAATCATTTCACATGTACAAGCCCCATCCTGTGGTGGTCAATACTGTTAAAATGTTAGTGTAATCTGTGGCACAGGCTTTGTCATTCCCCTAAACAAAGCCTGGGCAGTTTGAAGCATCAGCACCCAAAATGCTCACCAGTGTCCCTCCAGTCTGAGGCAGGAAGGGAGTTGTCCACTGGGACCGTTACTGCACCTGTAATCACAACAAGGCTCTGTGGTTGCTTGGTGGAGACTTATTAGGCAGTTTGGATGTGGCTGCCCTGTTTTGGGGGTTAAGAGCGTTTAGCAGTGCAGATGTGAGCCTAGTCATACTAGTTAGTCCTAAGGCCAGAGAATGGTTCCTCACCTGTTTTATTTACTCGTGCACAAGCAGATAAGAGACTGGCACCATCGTTTGTACCACAGAAGTGGTGGTACAGAAAGCTTCTCTGGCCTTAGGGACTGGAGTAGGATTTTTAATTTCAGAAGAACATAGTCACTACAAGAGTCCTGGTGGCTTTCTTTTAGTGCAAGACGCAAGTTCTCTTGATTCTTTAAGGTAAATAAAAGTCGTTACTTAATCTCAGTAACAAGCCCTTCCTGTTAAGTAGTAAAATGAGATTGCCACTGGCTGTAGTGCAAGGAAGAAATGGGGTATCCCGCCTAGCCCTATCGGTCCTCCCTCTCTTCCGTCTTGCTTTCTGCTAAGTGCCTGAGCCTCCCCGGAGCCACGTCCCCTACAACTTCCCCGCTGCTGTGTTCTGTGCATTCCTTGATAACGGCATTACATAAGCAACAGTGGCTTCTTCTGCTGAGGAGGCATACTTAATTACTAAAATATGTCAGCCAACTTCAGACGTTGAGGTGGTGCGTGGAGACCGTTGTCTTTCCAGAAGAAAGAGGGACTGCAGCACCAGAGCCTGGGTGATAAAGGAAGGGTCCTGCAGGTCACTGGGATCCCTCAGCACAGGGCAGGTACAACATACAGCAGCAGCCCTGCTCTACTGCTGGGCCTTGTCTTTAACGCAAGATCGCATCTAGAGTGAGAAAAAAACTCACTGTATGCATTCAGTGTTTGTTCGGTGTTATGATATGCCAACAAAGATGCCAGTCAGATTTTCACTACATACATGTTTCTTAACTAAAATCTGAACCTTGTTGACCAGCAGCTCATTCCCCATATGGCTCCATGCTGCCATCAAATAATGTAACTTTATGCTTGTCAAAGCAAAACTCTGCAAACAGAAGTTAGCCTATGATACTGTGTTGGTGTAAGAAGACTATTTTTGTTTAAGAGAAAAATTTCGCACATTGTGGCTGACATCGTTTTGTTAGGAGATCCCCTGGTGTAGTCACAGCCATGCAGCTTTTGTCAGTTCAGGTTATGTCATTGACGGAGCTGGTGTAATTACGCTAGCAGAAAGACTCTTTCGGCTAGAATATACTGCAGGTGTGGTTTAGTGATACAGCTCCTCTGGCAGCAAAGCTAGTATATTAAGTTCCTACCCCCACCACCCCCGACAGCACAGTTTGCTCCTGCCTCAGCTGTGCCAGTGGAAGTGTTTGTAGACCACACCATAAATTGGATAGCTACTCTGATAGTGGTTAAGTACCTAAACAGTGTAATGCCCCCTATTTACTTGAGGCAGATCATTTCACTAATGCATTTTGCAGTGTGAACGAACAGTTGCATCTGTGCTTCTGAAGGGGTGACAAACTGCTCTGTAGGCATAGAAACAAATAACTAGACTTTGCTGTGGATGACATGCTTTGGCTTTGTCACTGAAGAAAACCTTTATGTAACTGTACTCGAAATCTGCATTAGAGGACTCAATCAAAACACACTGTATCACGGGCAAGCTCTTTAACTCTCTTCCTCCTGTTATATGTAGCATCTCTGTGGCAAGGACTGTCTCTTGTCTTAAGTTTGTACATCTAACCACACAACCAGGCCCTCATTCTAATTTAGAACTTCTGCTATTGTTATGGAAATAATAATGACAGCACTATTGCAACATTTTGTAACTAGGATTATAAGATTAGAGTGAATGAAAAGCTCTGTTTCTATGTCTTCATTTTTCTAAAATGGAGATCATAGCAGACTTCTGTGAAAAACAGTTCCTATACTTCAGATTGCAAATTGAGATTAAAAGAGATGAGATTCCAAATTTTGGTATAGGCATTACAAGAAAGTGGTGTATAAACGCAGCCCACAGAGTAAATTGTCTTTTCCGTACTATGTTTGAGGGCAGGAGTTGCCGGTGGCAGTGACAGCAACAGTAGGACACAAGTAAGATAGATAAATTTGCAAATACCCATTTTGCCTATCCTATTTAAAAGAATCCATGGACAGAAGAATTGTGACACTTTCATCCTTACTACATCCATAACAAATTATTTGGCATAAATAATAAATGCTAGCTTTTTGCATTTTTTTTATTTGTGGGGTAATAGTTTCAAACATAGGTAAAAAGGAATACGAGCCGATTTCTGCACATACCTGCACATATAGGTAGAAGTCTAAATTTTTCTCTAAACAAAAAATGATTATCATTCTCTCCAGAAATGCCACTTGCAGTCATATCCAAAATCTAACAGCTATTATCAGATGCAAAATGCATGAAAAAAGAGTGGCATTAACAATTAAAAGTTCCTAAGTAATTCTGTATTTTGTCAGCTATTGAT